CCATATTCAACTTATAACTACTATCATATTTTCAAGTATATACAGTATTTACCAAATTCAATCTTCTAACTGATAAAGTATTTATCGATAAATACAATATTTACCATATCATGTATTTAATGGTAAATATAGTATTTACCAAATTTGAAATTACATTCAGTATTGTATTTACTGATAAATCTGTATTTACCACATTCAAACTCAAATTTAGCAAGTATTACAAGGTAAATACAATATTTATCAGATTCAAACTCAAATCCAGGGTTTAATGCTTTAAAATATCATTTTATTTATATTTTTTATAAAAATTCTACAAAATATGCAATTTGCCTCTAAATCCGTAAAATCCTAAATGAACCCCAAATCCCAATTCAATATAAACACCCGGCCACCCACCCTTTCTAGAGGTGTCAAACATGTCGGGCCGGGCCGGCACGGCACATCCAACACCAAGCCCATCAAGGGCCTAGGCCAGGCCTAGCTCGACCCTGCACAGTGCATGATCGTGCTTGGGCAGGGCCTAAGAAGAAAAACTCAGGCCCGGTCCAGGCCCTTGGCCCAAGTCCATAAGGGCCAGGGCCGGGCCTGGGCCCAGGCCCTTCACGAGCCGGCCCTTGTATTTTTTTTAAATTTAAAAAATATATATCATATGCCCCTAAAAGATGTGATTTTATTGAATTGACATAATAGGAATAAGTACACATAAATGACTGCCTCGTTAGAAACCTTACTAAGTAAAACCCATGGGGAGATCGGGACAAAACCTTAGCGAAGGAAAAAAGAGTGCAGTAGCTAGGAATAGTAAATTACAAACCTAAGTGCTTCCAGAAGATTCTGTTATTTCTAAGTTAGAAAAATATTCTTGCATTGAATCATCTGTGTATTGTTGTTTTCGTCTTCTAACATATTCCCAGTCTTTAATGCACATTAGCCCCTCCAAGATATCTAGATGCATTATGCTTCTCTTCTCGTCAAGAATTCAGTTGCTTACGCTAAAAGCTTGCTCCGATGCTACCGTTGACACTGGAGTTGTCAGAATTTCACGAGCTATTACAGACAGTGTTGGAAAATGATCGGTCATGCTCTTCCACCACTGTAAGATGTCTAATTTGTCATCATCGATTACAAAATTTACTTCAAAATATTTTACTAGTTCGATAGACGCTTGTGTTGATGACGATCCTGTCGTTTTCTCTTTCTTCTTCAAGAAACTCCGCAACGATCCTTTAGGCCCCGAACTGCTAGTTGATGTCGAAGTTTCCTGTTCTTTTTTACCTGTGCTGTATTTTGCTTCATACAAACTAAAAACATTTTCTAACATTTTCTTAGCGTCAGTAATAGTTAGTTGCATATCTATTTCTAAATTCTCTGCGGTAGCAGTCATCAATGATTCAGTTCCATCTACTCTGCACCTATGATTTAAAATGGGTGCCAATGCATATAACATAGGACAACCTAACCAATAACTTTTCAATTTATTTTCCATTAACTTAACTATATTTCCAAAAAGTTCTGTATCCCTATAATAAGAAAATATTTCTGAAATATTAAATAGTTGATGTAAAGCTAAATATGTAGTAGGATAATAAACTTCAGAAAGTAATTCAGTAGCATTGTAAAAAACTTCTAAAAATTTAAAAAAAATACTCAGCAATCTACCAATTAGGATCGAAAATTAAAATTTGCTCGTTCTTACTATTTATATATGTCGTGATAAGCTTTGAATACGTGAATGCTACTTTTAACATTAAATATGTTGAATTCCACCTATGTCTCACGTTAGTTGGAAACTTTCTTGGGCGCATATGATTGTTCCTGCAATATTGTTTGAATTCTTAGAGCCGAGCTTCATAACTAGATATGAATGATAATGATTCTCTAATATTTGTAAGATTAGCTGAGATATGTTCAATTCCTGCCTAAACTACTAAATTAATTATGTGACATGCACACCGTTAATGAAAAATTTCCCCTCCAAACGCTGGTTTCAAACTACGTTTAAACAGATTAATTGCAGTTGTATTAGCTGACACATTATCAAAAGTAATTACAGAACGAGTTGTGTTTCTACTTACCCGTTTAAATTGTGGGCAGAAGGCCGTCTGAATGAATTCTTCGAACGACGCATCATCTACAAAAGAAAGATGCAATTCGGCACTAGCTAGAAATTTAGCTAGTGCCTCACGAGCACGTTGTGCATCGTATGTAAAATTTTGTAACCCATGTGATGTGAGTGATAGTGTTTGTTGGCGGGAGTCCACACTCCCACCTTGGTGCAACGGTAGACACACTTTCTAATGTCTATCCAGATGACCAGTACCCTCACCCTTTTTATTAGAAAAGTATTTTTTACAATATTTACATGCCGCATGAATTTCCATCTCACATGTTTTTGGATTTGGTCGGGGCTCCTCGTAAAATGCTGCCATGACGGAGAAGTTTGCGGTCTTTTTTTCCTGTTGTGTTCTCCAGCTTCCTCATTGTGCACTGAAGCATTATCTACCGGAACATTTTCTAGTTCAGTGGGGGTGGGGTGGGGAGGCATCATTTCTTCCTTAAAAAATGCCGCATCACCAAGCTCAGGAAGAGCAGTGAAATCAGGGAAGTTTGGTGTGACCATTTTCTGAAAATTGATAGAACTTGATTGAACTTTGTAAATGAAAGAGCAAGAAAATAAATGAACGAGAGAAAAAAGCTTAGAATCAAAATCAAAGAGACAAGTTGAGAGATAGAATGAGAGTGAGAAGTTGAGAGTGAATTGTTGTGTGGGATTTAGGGTGGAATTAAGGGGTATTTATAGGGGATTTTTTTGGTGGATTTTCAGATTCTTACTGTTAGGCCCTTCGCGGGCCCAACGGGCGGCCCATGATGGGCCTAACGGGAGGCCTGTCACGTGCCAAACGGGAGGCACGTGATGGGCCAAACGGGAGGCCCATCACATGCTGCCCGTTGGGCCTGCGAAGGGCCTACTGGAGCATTTGAAATGGGCTATTTCATGGGCCGTTTCGCGGGCTTAGGCCAGGCCGAATCAGGGCTTGGGCTGGCCCGAACACGGGCCGTGCCGCGGGCCTCCACGGGCTAGGGCCGTACTTGGGCCGCGAGCTGAGAAGCTGAGGCCCAACCCTAGCCCATTACACGTGCCGGGCCAGCACGACCCGTAACAGTAGCGAACCGGGCCATGCTGAATCTGACATTATTACAGACTGGGCCGGGCCGTCCATGGACGGCCCGGCCCATTTGACACCTCTAACCCTTTCTAACAGCCTCTTACCGTGCAATCCCACCGCCGACACCTACAACAAAAAATGCCTAAGTTCTCTGGCATTGATGGCAGCCTCCGTAGACAATGCGACTCCACTCTCCTAGAACTGTCAACCCGGTGACGATGCGATATCCATCTCCTAAATTCGTCAATCAAGCGACGAGCATTAGCCATGCTCTCCGACGACGAGCACGGAAAGGATCGTGATTTTTTTGCACTATCTTCTCCAGCCACCTCTTTTGATGCCGACGACGGCACTACGTAAGGACGTATAGAGCAAAGAGAGATCGGGTGGGGAAGAGAGAGAAACATGGGGATGAGGAAGAGGAGAGAAAGGGAAACAGAAAGAGCCTGCCATCGCTGAAATCACACAACTCCTCAATCCGACAGAGATCGCGACGAGAGAGAGTTATAGAGGAGAGAGAAACATAAAGAGAGAGAGAGGGGGTCTAGTATGTTCGGCTGTGAGGGTTTAAGAGGAATGAAAAAGATGAAACCCTAAAAGAAAGGGTAAAGTTGGAAAAAAAATTTCTTTCATATTGAAAATTAGAAATATGCTATAATTTATTATGATTTTAAAAAAATGATATTCATTTTAAACATAGGTATGAAATAGATATGAAATGTGTTATATGGTGCATTTTCTCCAAAAACAATCTATACTACTGGGAAGTGTTTGAAATTAAAACAAGTTCTTTCCAATGAATTATTTGTAAAAATATTTTTGAATAAACTTAAGATGCTTAAATTCATATATAAATAAATTTTTTATTATGCAGTAAATAATATACTGCTCACGTGCCTCCCACATGATATCTAGCTTTGGTTGGTTTATATTCAATTGAAGGGCAATTAAGGAGGGTGGATATGCAGCGATACATGCACCTACCAAGTTAGACTTGTGTGATAAACCACCACCTCCTCATTCATTGACTGACTCGAAGTAAACCAAATTTGATATAGATTTCTGCCACTGAAAAAAACTTGTTGCAGAAACTGCCATCCTCTAAATTGTATGACACCAATAATACTCCCGTAATACTGATGAGTGATGAGACCCTGCCTCTTGTACTCGCATTACACAATCAAGCAGTATGACCAAAAAAAATTTTAAAAAAAAAGAATTTAAAAATTAAAAAGAAAAAGGCAATGATGCAGTTTCTAGCAATAACCTGTAAGAGAACAAAGGTTGAAGCACGTAAGAAAAATGTTCCACGTTTCTAATAACACCTAAAAGCAATAGATGAGACGTTTAAAAAAAAGATTCGTGTCATAATTTGAATCATAGTTCGTAATTTACTACAGTATTTTCTCTTATAAAAAACACAAGTAAAATAAAAATGATTCTGAATCTATGAACCAAACGTCGCATTCATTAGTAGTCCCTTAAAATTTTTTTAGTGAACCTAAGGATGAAAAGGGACACAAACAAAGGACAATAACTTGTACGTCTTTTGCCGTATAAATGACAAATTAATAAATTTCAGATCCGTTTAATTCACTGATTCGAATTTTTAATTCGAGTTGAAATGTGATTTTATATGAGTTTTTAACTGTAACAAAAAAAATTAAATGTGACTGTTTCTGAGAGTTTTTTACTGTAACAAAACTCAAATTTTAAACTTGAATCGGTGAAATAAATGAGACCTTCATATTAGGTCCTTTTCCTCCTAGTTTGACAGGAGGATTGAGTGCAAAACATGAATTTTCATGATAGTAATACAAGAATTCAGAGTGATTTTTCAACAGAAATTTCGCTTAAGACTTGGGACATTAAGTTGAATAAATGTAAATATAACTAGATACAGAAGAAAAAAAAATCAAAAGATGGACCCGGTAATTGAACAATGACGTAATTGTAGTAGCATCTACTGCACAAGTTCTATACAATAAGCTCATCTTCAAGATAGTTATACTCGAATGTAAACTCGTTCTTGATCCGCTGACACCTGTACACCAACACAAACAAGTAGTATTATCAAACAAGTAAAAAATGTGAAGTTCTTAAGACAAAGATATGCGTGAATGTAAAGGGTAATTTGCACCGGTACAACCTAACTTTGTCGTTTAAAACTAGGACCCCAAATTTTTAATCGACATCTAAGACCCGAAATTGCATCATCCTTGACAAATTTTTAATCAATGCAATCCAGTCAATAACAGATGACAATTATGAACCGCAATTAATGCCCAAATTGGAAAGTTCTGGATCCAACTTTCTAACAAAAAGTCACGGGTGCATTTTGTGCAAAAATTGTGGGTGTCCCATTAAATAATTGACATCCATCAGCTATTAGACCACAGTTCCAACAGATTTTCAAATTCAGAAATCAGAGCCCTATTTGCAAAACTTCAAAGTTCGTGATCCAAATTGCGAAACACCAATAAGTTTAGGACGCACAAGTGTAAATAATATTTGTATATAAACATAATTCAATTTCGCATATAACGAGCATACAAACCAAAGTATCCATACCATCCTTGGTTTTGCCCAACTCCTAGATCGTCATTGGCGACATGGAAATCAAAGTAGACGTAAGTCCCTTGTTCATATTCATCGGTGGCGACTTTCGGCTCCTCGTGTCGCTGAAACCATGTGTTATATTTTCTGTGGTATCTCCAAGACTGCTTTTTCAACTCTTTGGCGGCCAAATATTGTGGATAAGTGTTCTGAAAATTAAACAGAGAGGGAAGAGGAGAGAGAGAGAGAAGTATAAGTATATGCGTAGACTAACATAATTGAGTAGAGAGATAAAGAGAGCAGAAAGAGAGACAAAGAGATAAGAACGCAAGATGGAATCTAGAACTGAATCACAATTTTCATCATCAATCAAGTCTAAATTGAAAATGTAATTACTAGGCCTATTTATAGAAAGATAAAACATAATAATAGGATGAACTCAAACTAATAATGGATTTAATTTTAACCAAATCTACATAAACTTAAGAGATAAAGCGCAATCTTAAATTGAAAACAAAATAGTAAAGATAAAGCCTATCCTAATGTCCATCGTACTAGTAATCAATACAGTAAGTTTGGTACCTGCTGATGATAAAAGGAAAAGAAAAGGGTGTCGGTGCTGTAATTTTCAAGACCTAGTCGCTCCCAAAATGCTGGATTGTTAACAATTGGTGCCTGTACTTGCGGGTAGCTAGGAGGAGTCATTGCAGGATGCCTCTGTAGAAAGGCAAAACATTGATAAATATCTAGATCATATACACGATAAACAAGAGATGAAAGTAAAAATTTTAATTGGTGCATCCATACCGGAGTATAGTTCCTTGTGCGTTCGGAGTCTTTGGGTTGTGGGAGCTTGTAATAAGCAGCATCTAGCATCTGCAAATTGTGCAATTGGTCATGCATTCCCCCGGAGTTTACAGTTGACACCGTAACATTGTCACCAATGGCACCTAGGTCAGAAACACTTCTTCGACCAATAACACCGAGGCTGCCAGAAGATTGATTGGCCTGTAAAGGTTGCCCGGGGGAGAGATCAGTATCTCTTGGCACTTGAGCCAGCTCTGTTAACGAGCCTGAAACTCCAGCCTGCAAAGAACAAGTCGCCATGATCATCCATTGGGAGAGCTGATAAACCATCTTTCTCAATGTCAAACTAAAAGTACTTTCTCCAACAAATTGAAAGAAATCACAACCACTAAAAAGAAAATGAAACCCCTGCTCCCAAGAATAGACCTATACGTTCTAGGTACAAATTATTCTCATCTCTGAATTTGTGTACTCCTTGTAAGAGGAGTGCAGAAGAGGAAATCTATTTTTCCCTCTTTTTTTTCTTCGCTCCAAGTTTGTGGGTTGTGCCGTTGTGGCTGCAGTTAGTGAAGGCAGCTACTTACCCTTGGTAATCCCTTCTGCCCCAGTCTCCTTGATAATAGGAAAATTTACAACCTTTGGTGATGGCTGCAGAGGCAAATCTTTGTTAAAACATTCAATTTTCGCTACATTTGGCTTTGTAACTTAAGACGGACCTTTTCTGAGGGACAGAGTCCAGATTTTGGACTTCCACATGGGCTCACTCTGCCAAGGAATTTAGCACTGTTTTTTCATTTCCGTAACTGGTTTGAGAGGATTGTCGATCACATCTTCTTTAGTTCGGCATT